ACTCTGTACTGTATCAGCACCGTCGATGCTGATGCATTCTTCGACAAAAGTGAAGATATTCGGGTGCTCATCGAGATAGAAGCGGGAGCGACGTTGACAGTTCCACCGATTTCGATATCATATTGATCTTGTAAAGACTTGATACCGTTCCAATGCAAGGTGTCGACATACGTTTTCACCTGTTTAGGCCTCGGTGAACCAGACATTTTGAACGATGTTATGGCAGTACCAGCCATTGATTCTCCGGTGAGAGCATCTACGCCAAAACCTAGTCGAAATGTTTCAGACCAGGGTATCTTGACTTCGCGTTGTAGTTCTGTGCTGGCAACAGCTTTTTGAATCGGTCGCTAAACAGAAACAGCGGATTAGATGGAATAGACGATGTGTGGTACGTATATGGTCCTACTTGTACCGGGACCTCCACTGGTGAGGGCTTGTCTTTCTTAGAAGGAATCTCCAAGCTAACGACCCGACGGTGTTTCTTTGGGTCATCCGGAGGCTTCAAGGTATCAGGAGTGACAGATCTTGCCACTGGAGGTGCGGGGACCTTCAGCTTATCGTCATGTTTGATCGATGTTACTTTCAGAATCGATTTGAGTTTTGGCTGAGGTTCGGATTTGAGAATGTTGATCCTTACACGAATGGCGTCAGGACTCTAGGCAGTATCATTAATCGTCTAGGGTGGAAGTTGATTATATATAAGTAGCCTGCACACCTTATCTGTCTTATCATGCTTTTCACCAAAGACTATCGTACTTCCATCTTTCAGCACGTATGCTTTCCCTGATACAAGTTCGCCCGCTGAACTCGACCATGTCCCGTTTTTGGATCCGTCTGTGATATACACCTAAGCTTTATTGATGAGATTCTATCGTTAGTGAGAAACCCAGCAACGCACTTTCACCCCATCGAACTTCAATGTTGCATGCTTTGAGCCTACTACAGTATTGTCGCTTCCAAAGAATTTCCTCCCTATTATCGCTTCGTTGCTTGCGTCTTTCTTCACAGTGAATCTCTTAGGCTTAGCCTTCGAATGCGGGGGGTCTTCCCACACGAATTCAACTCCTACAAACTTTGTCGAATCAATGCAAGTAGAATTCAGACGATATAGATACCCACCTTCTACTACTAATTGTTCACCATCTTTCTTGGCTTCAATAGATGGCATGGTTCAAGATATTGGCGCTATGTATTAGATGGGCGAAAATCTTGAAGAAAGTGATCTTTATGCATTGTTGTAACCGACAACCACGGACACTGGGATAACACTGCTTATGGGGTTGAACTCTGGGGAGAATGTCATTGGGCGGTACAGTTTGAGCATAGGTGTGTGTAGGATATATTCCTTTTGCATCGAGGAAGGTGTTCAACGAAAAGGACTGCACGTGCTGGCAAGGGCCTACTAGCCAGTATCTACTATCTAGTAGAACGAGTTCACTGAGTTCATCCATCACTGGCAATCTTCGGAAAACAAACACCTAGGTACCTCACTGAGTGGGCGAAAATGAACCGTCAGTTGGTCAACATTCACAGCTCTTGGGATGGGGTGTTGTAGGGGGAAGTGTTTACTGATTGAAGGAAGTCATTTTACGAAGTTCCTCCATCATCAAGTCAATTGTTGTGTAGGGATCGCAATCGCAAACATAACACAAGATTGCGGACTCGGAATGACCATGTCCCATCCTCCATTGCAAGGGGTGTAAGCAAGGAAATCACGGTCCATATCGCTTAGAAGTGAAGACTGCCAATTTGAACACTGTTCTTCGACATTGTAGCGAAACTTGTGGACCCGACTGCAATACATAGCATGTTGTAATCCGAACCTTATCCTTGAAGCCTGAAAATGATATATCTATATCAGCAGTAAGATTTTCAAGCAACCACCAGACGAATGTACAAAGATTTGGCATCTTTTTGGCAACAAAGCCCAACACAAAGTGTTCGCTAGTTTGTGGCACTGGAAACTGACATCTGTGCATAACGGACTCGGAATCACCAGAACGGCTTACGAAATACAAATTACTCCAATTGAGGTTCAGGTTGTTTCCCGCGCTTTCACTGAAACCTCTTCACCATCTTCAAAGTTCACGTTGAAATATTCTTATCGATGTTCCGACAACTTATGCGACGCACTCCGAATGTTTTCGGTGCTATTTCAATACAAGTCTTCCTATTCAGCCTCGATTCTCAGCTGATCCGAAAACAGCTGACTACTTTAATCCCAGTGGTGGACGAATGCTGAAATCTTGAGAACTACAATTGTCAACCACCATGTCTCGGAAGCACGTATATGGCTCTTCAGATGGATTGGTGATGAAATCTCTTCAAGGCGCCGTTGCTTTGAATCCTTCTCTTCGCTTGTGAGTCTAGCTTTGGCTTATTTTGCTCAGTTAATTCATTCTGCTTAGACATCAAGCCTCTAAAACGGTCTACGTCTCCCCTCCATCTTCACAAGCCAAGGTCTCTGTGATTTCCGGCGGAGGGGCAGGCCATGAACCAGCCCATGCATCCTATACAGGTTATGGCATGCTTGCCGCCTCTGTCTCCGGCGAGATCTTTGCAAGTCCGAGCGCTAAACAGATACTCTCTACGATTTGTCTAGCGGCTTACGCCGGCGAAGACGTTCACCCAAGACGGAATACAATCACAGACAGATCTGTTATCCACGTCCCTCATAGGAAGGATGTCCTTGCTATCATTAACAACTATACCGGAGACCGACTTAACTTCGGCCTTGCGATCGAGAAGGCCCGGGCAGAAGGGATCCGGGTTGATAGTGTCGTCGTGGCAGACGACGTTTCGCTTCTTCATTCTGAAAGCTCTAGTCTTGTCGGTCCACGAGGGCTTGCCGGTAATATCCTTGTCTGCAAAATCTTGGGAGCCCTAGCTGAACGAGGATCCTCCCTTGAAAATCTCAAACACGCGGGAGACACCATTGTTTCTCATCTCGCAAGTATCGGTGTTGGGCTGGATCATTGTCATATACCTGGTAATGACTCTTATAGTGCCACCATTGGTGACGATGAGTGTGAAGTGGGGTTGGGACTCCATAACGAACCGGGCGTACATAGGATGGACATAAGGGATTCAGTGAAGCTTATCGATGAGCTAATAGGGAAGTTATTGCGCTCGCGTGGTGTGGTGGATGGAGGTAGAGATAGTTTTGTTCAGGAAGGAGATATTACAGTCTTGTTCGTGAACAATTTGGGAGGGATGTCCCAACTAGAAATGGGAGCAATAATGACCGATATCCTTGCTAGACTTGGTGCGTTACATTTAGACTCTTTAGAGCAGAAGCTGAGAAGTTTTCCAGCTCTTTCCGACATACACCCATTAAGAATATATAGCTCATCTTTCATGACTTCGCTGAACGCCCCTGGTTTCTCAATCTCCCTTCTCAACGTTTCCGGTGTCTATCGATCATCACGCCCATCTGCCATCTACCATTCAATCGACATTCTAGGATTATTAGACGACCCGACCGAAGCCCATTCCTGGGTCGGTCTTCGTCGTTTTTGGTCTTCGGATGGCCGGAAAGACTTGCGTAGCCATCATCGCGCAACAGAAATGGTGCTGGATTTGATGTCGGGGGGTAGTAGAACTTCCAAAACACAGGATGATAGGCCTCATACAGAAACGACCTACTGGCAGTATGCAGACGTGTCGCCTGAGAGAGTGAAAGAAGGGATCATAGGGGCATGTATGGCTGTTCTAGGAGAAGAGACCTTCTTGACACAGTATGACACCATCGTGGGTGATGGGGATTGTGGTATGACGTTCTCGCGGGGGGCAAAAGGTGTCTGAAATTCTTTATGTATCGCTAACTGGGAAATTTAACTAATGCTTCGAGTTGCAGCAATTCTGTCTTCCGTCGAAACGCAACAACTCGAGGTTAGTAAACTTTCACCAGATCAGTTAATCCACCGTATCGGCGAAATTATCGAGGACAACATGGGTGGGACCATTGGCGCATGTGAGCATTTCCTTCCGTCTCATCTGAAAGTTCGCTACAAGTTCGCCCCAGTATTCGCCATCTTCTTCACCGCCTGGTCGTCCGCTATAAAGCGCATGATCCACCCATCCCCAACATCCGTCTCCTCTGTACGCTTCATGGACACGCTCTCTGACGCTTTAACCTCCCTTTCCCACCACACATCGGCTAAACCTGGCGATAGAACCATCATGGATGCATTATATCCGCTATGTGATGCTACACTTACATCGTCAGGTAGCAGGAATGTAGATGAAGTCGGGTTGGAAAGTTCCACGGAGTGTCCAAACGGTAATCTAGTCGCTGAAGCCTGCCGCCGAGCTCACGAAGGAGCCATTAGCACGAGAGGTATGAAGCCTAAACTGGGACGCGCGGTATATGTGGAATTAAAAGAAGGATTGGAGCTACCCCCAGACCCAGGGGCTTGGGGGGTCGCAGTGCTTGCGAAAGGGTTTTGGGCTGGATTCTGTGAGCAGGCCAAGGAATCCTGAATGACTGTGGCTTGTTGTGATCGCATGAAAATCCAAATATAACTGTCACTGTAAAGGACAGTGCCCCATTGATGAATTTTGCATTGCTGCTGATGTGAGGTGTGAGGCCCAAGTACCCATGGGATAGCCAAAGTTGACTTTGCAATTTGCTGGTACTTCTAATGGTTCGGGATGGTACTTCTACTTTCAATCTTGATTCTTGATATGCATTGTTCGATTGCATATCCTTAGTCTACAACATCTCACACTGCAGATATGGAGAGGATCTCTTGGTCAATTGTTATTAAATATGATGGAACTTCGAACGTTAACCCTTGGCCATTCTATTACATTACTTGGCGATACCATCGGATTTGGTGGAAAATCTACATAACTTCGACCGGTTCCTCAATACAAATATATTTTTTTTGCTTTGAGATACTCAAGACTGAAAAATATACATCACGGCAAGTGTATGGAGACTCAAAAGCCGCTCCCTGGTACACATGCAGTACTACGGACTGACCAAAACAAAAATATGCCTCCTAGCCGGATTGAACGACTGACCTTTGCATTTTCTTTCGTACAAGTGCAACGCTCTACCACTGAGCTAAGAAGGCGCTGTTTAAGTACTACATTGAGTTAATCACAGCAATCTTATGTGAAAGCAGGAATTGGGCAGGGAACGATTGGAAAGAAATGTATTCATAGTCACTGACAAGCTAATGGACGCTCATGGTGAATTTTTTTGAAGATTGACAAGCTTTGTTTCTGATGATTTCTTTATGGGCGTAATAGTGGGGAAAAATTCAGTTCATCTACTTTCCTGCATATGTGTATCTATCATAATTTCTCTAGATTTTGACGACTCAACTACAGCCGCCGCCGCAAAAAGTCGACATCGACAGAACTTCATGATTCTCAGAAATTCCCAAGACATTTCCTTTCTTCTGAGCTCTTCTGAGGCATTTGCTGATCTTTCAGGCGCCTGAGAGAAGAGAAGTCCGAATATATAGCAGCATTTTCCCGGAGAGAAGCCTTACCAACGCATGTCGGGCTCTGCATTCTGATTTGTTGATAAGTGGATGATCTGCTTCTTCCGGATCGCTCCTTATTCTTGAACTCGGAGGCTTTCTTCTTACTGTGCCAGTAACGTGCTTCGGGCGAATTTTTTTGGCGTATTTTCCGGGAGATGATTTTCGATTACTGCAAGGGAAGTCATAGGCTAACAGCGCAGCCGCGACTTCTGCACTCGTTTCTTACGAGAGCTTACGAGTGGCAAGTTAGCTTATGCATTTTTCATGTGATTTGAATACTCTCAGTTTGTTATCTCAATGGCAGTTCTTCCAATCATCATCAAGTTCATCTCGCTGGAAAATGTACCTCATAGTCTCAGGGAATTACAACGGCTTCAACGGTTTATGCAAATTGGGCTCTAACTTTTCTACTTTCGTTCTTGCCTTTGACCGCAAATTTAAGTCATTCAAGTTTTTCGCTTGGAATCGCGCCTTTTCCCCTTTCCTCTATCTTCTGATATTCAGAAGTCTAAGTAGATCACCACCGATCTTTAGGGTGATCCTTAGCGCAGATTTGAAAAGCCGGAAATTATGACAGAAGGAATAGTGCGGTGTACATTATAATACTGCCACTCAGGTGTGATGGTGATATCTGCTCATCCTTCAAGCCCATTGTAGTCAAATCGCGTCAGTCACTAGACCCGATGGTTCCCCCGTCAGAGTCTCGTAAGTATAGTATACATACTGTACTGAACCCCGGAGATTTTTTTCAATGGGAATTTAGAGGAAGCAAGGTACATGCTTCCCATTGACTTCCCATCGTCTAAAACGGTTACTGTTATTTCCCTTCCAGCTCCATAAGTTCAGAGGTAACTTCCAAAATAAGGACGACTTCAATGAATGTTGAGCTTTGTGACCATGAGAATAGATCGATATGCCAGACCACTAGGATTACAGATGAATAAACTAGTCATGTTCACCCCTTCGTCATACGGTGCCACACCTCATATCTGAGGCTATAAAATGTCTCACTCGAACACTCAGGATAAATTCGAAGCACTACTCACTTTTCTGTGATCCCAAGAATATCCGTTACCATGACCATAACACTATACGACTTTCCCGCCAAACGAGATGAGCATACCGCTTGGAATCCGAATGTTTGGAAGACGAGGTGGATGATTTCCAAAAAAAATCGACTTTCATTTTAACGACTTTTCTCTCCAGGTATAGTCTTGTTTACAAGAACCTCCCGTACCGAACAGTCCTGGTCGAGTTTCCTGACCTCGAGCATATCATGCAACTGCTCGGCGCCGCGCCCACCGAGACTAAGCCTGACGGTAGCCCGAAATATACGCTTCCAGTCATCCACGATTCCGCTACAAACGCCGTCGTCTCAGACTCATTTACCATCGCACAATACCTTGAGGAGACATACCCCTCTCCTCCCCTTTTTCCCAACGGAACTCATGCATTCCACGCGTCTTTTAACGACCTATTTCCGGCGAGAATAGAACCTATGCTCCAATTTCTTATTCCATCGATTGCATGTGTGTTAAATCCACGAAGCGAGGTATATTTTCGCCGCACCCGGAAGGAAATGTTCGGAATGGAACTCACCGAGTTATACCCGGCGAAAGGGTCTGAGAAAAGGGATCAGGAGTGGCGGAGGTTCGAGGAGGGACTTGGTATGCTGGATAGGACTATGCGAAAAAGCGATATTTTAATCATGGGAGGAAATTTGCCATGCTTCGCAGACTTTACAGTTGCAGGCTGGTTGTGCTCCTTCCGGACCGTTTTTGGAGCGGACAGCGAGGAATGGAGAGGTTTAATGCAATGGCACGATGGAAGGTGGTATAGGTTTATGAAAGCACTGGAAAAGTACGAGCACGATTCTGTACAACCTATGTTAGCAAGATTGTAGAATTTTCTGGTGTTCTGGTTACCGGATATGTCGTCAAGTGTCGGATAAGGCTTCTGATATTCCGTTCATCTTTAAAGCTTTGGTTTGGACTTCAAGCTTCAAGCAGTAATATACTTTGAGGTCATGTACTTTTGACTGAGTTTGCGTCTGTCTCGACCCGCAGACTTTCAGCGGTGATTTTCAGTTTTACTTGATTTATCTTGGCGAGCTTGCGAGTTACGAGGTTCGACTTTTAGATCAGCGGTAATGAGGAGATATGACCTCAAACGTTAGGCCTCGCTTCCAAGCTATTTTTATCGAAAATCCAGAACTGCAGAAATGTGCAAGGATGTAGATGTCGACTACCAAGATAGAAACAATTGAAATCGCCTTAGAAGCGCCCGTGACAAAATTTCACTAATAGTAACATTTCTCACCACTTTCTTTGAAATTCTTCTTCACTGCAAAAAGAATATGTATCGATCAATCCATATGGGCATTACAGGCTCTGTTCGGCTTTACTGGGTGTCTTGGGCCCCTACACGTTTAGCGCGCTCTTTTTGAATTCTTCTTTCTCTGCGTCAAGTTTATCCCTGTTCATCCTTCACTTAAATTTCTTCCAATTCTTCTCCATTAGCAAGATTCCGAGATGCAAAAGGAATAATTTGGGGCTAATCTGAGCTAGGCGCTGCTCAGTTTTGGTGCATCTTATGTTTCCTCCTGTCGTCGAAGTGATCCTAGCCTAACTCCTGATGCACTTTTTGCCTGTATGAATTAGCAATTAGCTTGTCTTTGGCACCTTCGTTTTGTTTGTACTTTGTTGCGCTAGGATCAACGCTACTTTGTAAGCGAAGTTCTATGGTGCGTCTTATTTCACATATTATAGCAATATCATTATATGCAGTACCCTCGCTCACATTGACTTTTATAGATCCAATCCTATCCAATCACCGCCGAATTGTTTTACAGCCTGCCAGCCTGCTAAACTTGCTTCTTTGACGCTTACTACACACAGGCTTATTAATTAGTTTATTCTTCGTAGAAACCCTGAAGCTTGAGTTTTTACGTCTATATTGACCAGAACTTATCGGCGTGGTGGATGTGGTTATTCTGGCCAGGACGGACAGCAGCAGCGTCGGCTAGTCACCGTATTTTCTTACGACAACTTTGAGCAGTCCGTTGTTTGAAGAATCTCCTCCAAGGGGTTGGATCGTGTCTGCAATTCCAAGCTTGTCGGTTGATTTCTGCCTGTTTCTGTCCTCCTGGCTTTTGCATGGCTGGGTCGGATGGTGCTGATCCTTTCAATTTGTGGCTGTGATTATATCGTGGTCGTGAAGCTCTTGACGAGCCATTACCGAATAGGGGGAGAATTCTGGAGGTATGTAGTCCATTGTGCGAATAGTGTTACCTATATTCAGTTTGCTTGTCGGCCTGATGGTCTAGTAGTATGATTCTCCCTTCGGGCGGTTTGCTCGCAGCTTGACGTTGTTCCCTTGGGAGAGGTCCCGGGTTCAATTCCCGGTTAGGCCCTCATTTTTTGAGTTCTTCTTGTTGAATGGGTTTTTCTTACCTCCAGCATGTAGACATCTGAGTTGACTTATGGACCTTCAGAGAAAGAGAGAACCAACCATCCCAATGTTACATTCGCGGTTTGAGCCCACATCGCGCATCATTCATATTCGAAAATATGGGCAAAATAAGCGCCAGCAAGTCCTTGTAACCGGACGGCCACGACCATGTCCTCGAATTCACTTCATCATTATCACCGTCCTCATCTGCCACCAATTCCGGACCTGCGCTTTGAACCCAGCTACTTGCGAAGTATACAGCCATATATACACCTGCGTACCTTGAAGCACAAGTCCACGAAGAAAGAAATCCCAGAGGCGGGAGTTAAGCAGTATGATGAAAATAAATCGGAGGCGGTCATAGAAGTTGAATGGAGGCATGTTTTATGGGTGACGGCGCGAGATCAGATATTGAGTCCCTTGTTCCAAGGCGTGCTCTGGTGAGATTTACGATCGACTTCTTTCTATTCATTGCTATCCTCATTCACTGATATACAGGGCACTCGTCGGTTTCTATGTCACTCCGTACTCTACACGCGTCGCTCATACAATTGTACAACATTTACCGTTGCGACGCTCATAGTATCGACGTCGAATCGTTGAATAACGGAGAACTTGTCCATTGCGACATTCAATGAGTGGCATAGAACATCGTTCTGACTTCGACTACTTACTTGAGATCACTCTCCTTCGATGTAAAACTCAAGGTTCGGTGGTTATCGTCCAGTGGAAATCGCTCATCTGATCTATCTTTTCGTTCTATTGACACCTGTTGAAAGCTATAGCACAAAGTTTCTGTCTAGTGTGAAATCGTCAATCGTTGGACCACCAACGTGTTTGTATTGCAATTTCTGCTACTTCCACTACGCGACTTCCCGATGGCGACTACCTCAGTACCATTAAGCAACGTTGATCGAGGTTCTGCTCTTCTCATAGCTCAGCTTGCCCTCGATGATATTCGTGAGCTTCGTGGCGGAAATACATATCCGGACCAGGAATATGCCTGGGAGCTCATGGCAGAAGAGTTCGCACAAGTATTATCCTTCTTCAATGACGCTCAAACCGCCGAACACCCCAACGACGAAGGATATCCAACTAGCGATGCTGTTTCTTCGTCAAGCAGTTCGTACTCG